TAGTTCACGTGCAACTGAGGTTTTGTTCATAAAATCTTTTCCTGTTCCAATGTCTTCAAGAGTTCTACCTAATATCTCTTTCAGCTGGTTAATTGTTTTTATTTTAATATTTAGATCTTTCATCCATTTCTATTTTAGTTTAGTACATGGTGAGAGATATAGGTCTAGTTTTAATCTTTGGTAAGTTGAAACCCAATTTTTCCAGCACCGTTTATTAAAGAGGCTATCTTTCCTCCAGTGAGGGTGGTTGGCTCCTTTGTCAAAGATGAGGTGGCTGAGTGTGTCTGAAGTTGTTTCTGCATCTTTTAATCTGATCTACTGGTCCTCAGGTCTGTTTCTTTGCCAGTACCATGCTGTTTGTAGTATAGTACTTTTGTAGCATAGTTTCAAGTTGGGAGTTGTGATACCCCTTGCCATGTCTCTGTTGCCTAGAATTGCTTTTGCTATTCTGTATCTCTTTTTCTTCCAAATGAATTTTTGGATTGTTTTCTCCTGGTCTGTGAAGTATGCTGTTGAAGTTTCAATTGGGATGACATTGAGTCTATATAGCAGTTTTGGAAGTATGGCCTTTTTCACTGTGTGGCTTCTTCCTACCAAGGAGCAAGGGATGTCTTTCCATTTCTGATATCCTCTTCGATCTCTTTTTTCAGAGTGCCATAGTTTTCAGAGTAGAGGTCTTTGATCTCTTTTGTTAGGTTGATTCGTAGGTATTTCTTTTTTTTTTTTTGAATGCTATTGTGAAAGGAGTTGTTTCTCTGTTTCCTCTTTCAGTGAGTCTGTTGTTGGTGGACAGGAAAGCTATTGATTTTTTTGTGTATGTTGACTTTGTACTCAGCTACTCTACTCCTTCTTAAGCATGGTTTCCTAGCTGCAGGTGAATAAAGGCTAATGCTTGAATCATTTTAATTTCACTTTAATTAAGTATTTGAAACTTGTTACAGCCTCTTTTTTTTTGGTACTGGGGATCGAACTCAGGTCCTTACGCTTGTGAGGCAGGCTCCAGAACCACTGAGCTAAATCCCCAGCCCTCAACCTCTTATTTTTAAGTGTGTGTAGAGGGTATGTTTCACACCTCTGTCTCAAGGTTAAGAGACAATATTTCTTAAAAGTGGGGGTTTGAGTTTCATTTGCTTTAGAATCACCTTGGATAGTTGTTAAAGAAGCAAATTTCTGGGATTTACTTTTAACTTCTTGAATCAGAGTCACAAAGATAGAATCTAGGTAATTCTGATACCAATGAATTTTGAGATTGCCCTATCAAATGCCCTGTGTTCAATATATTTTTTGTGGAATGAATAAAAACAGTCCAAGGGAGCAAAGTGGATTGATTAAATCAAATGAAGAACATTCTTTTTTATTATTAAATGTCCTTCAGGCTTTTATGTTGATTTAACCACGTTAAAAGTGTGACCAATGACATTCTAAATTGTGGAACTGTGGCTGATAATTGAAAGAGAAAATCTCTTGTTTGGCATCCTGAACAATCTTTTCTTATACT